AGCAGCAAAGTTCCTCCCTACTTTGTAATGGAAGATGGCCATCTCCTAAATTAGAAATACACTTCTTTAACACAGAGATTTTCCCTGGAGAGCTCTCATGCAAGTAAAAACTTGGTGCAACAATGCTTTGCTTGTTGGATGTGATGAGATCACAAACGAGTGCTTTGGCTGCAGATAGCGAAAAGCTCATTAGCATATAGATTCAATAAATTCCACATCAAGGGCAAAATCAGTTTTCAGATGCCCGTTTTACCCTGTTAAAAGATGCACCCTAGAACTAGATTACTCAACATTCTTGACACTTAATCAAGGTTGGCCAATATACAGAGAGTGAGCCTAAGTGAAATATGTGTTCCAGCAATATTTTTGCTAAACACTAGCTTCTGCTACCCTCAACTTTTCAATCTCTCAGCTTTTCAGGGTTGCAGGCAGTATTTGATCACTTTAGGCATATTTCCATATCTTCTTATTTTCAAATGGCTTCACAGTAAATTAAATATGGTATAGCATTAGGTCCAAGCAAAATTTCAAAGAATCTAGAACAACCTGTCAGAAAATGGTAATTTGAAAAACAAAGTGAAAGAAGTTTTCATACATCAGTGAATGGAAATAAATCCCTTTGAATTAGACAAAGAAAATTATGAAGAAGAAAAGCCAGACAATTGGAGTTTCACTGTAGAAAGTAAAAACACAACCTGAGTGGCTTGCATCTTATGTAAAACTTCAAACCATAACAAGAATGGGAAATCAAGCAAACAGCTCACTGAAGAACATGTTTGAGATACACTGAGAAGTGGGTTTGAACACAGAAGTCAATATTCATATTTATGTTTCAGTGCTTTTAAAATCTGAATATTAGCTATGTGCAACTAAGAGCTTACTCTTTTCTTTTTTGGAAAGGATGACAACTTGGAGGCTTGGGATGACACTAAACAAAAAAAATCCATGTAGCATTTTGGACCACTCTTGGATCATATATATAGCAACCAAAAGCTTCTCTGAAACCCTATAGTAGCTTTATCTATGGATCCAATTTATCAAAGTGTAGCTCACTTACCATTTTGGTTGTTAAAAAGCCAGCTCAAAGGACAGCAGCCAAGAAGCAACAGCACAACTAAGACTTCCTAGACACATTCCCAGCCCAAAAAGACATGTCTAGAGGAAAGAAAAATGTTTTGGCTGCAGCAGCAGCAGGAGATTAGTTGCTTTGTAGCTGCTCTGAGGAGAGAAGGAAACCTGATTTATTTTTCAGCCAACACTAAGCACCCAATTTCACTAATGAAGTAATTTTGTCAGCAAAACAACAGTGGCTGCAGGCCCTCACAGTACCATAAGCCTTCTGACCACCCGCAGAATCACTCTACTGTATAAACTCTCTCCTACACAATCACCCCTATAAGACCCTATATACTTCCCTCTCCCCAGGCGTTCTCTCACTTCTCCCTCCAACCCTCCAGTCTCTCCTCTCAAAACATTCCCTTGTCTACCACAGCCCCTCAATCCCCATGACTCAAAAACTTCATTCTGCCTCCCCACAAACAGTGCATCATCTTTTGTTTCCCCACCAAGCCTGTTTTTCCCAGCTCCCTATTCCATGGTTCCCCTTCCTCAGGCAGTGACCACCATAATGTCTCTAGCCCCAGTTTCATCCTCTCATTTCTGAACCTTCTTGGGGTAGGGGAGAAGCCATTCAGCCTTATTCCTCCTCCAGTGGGCTTCCCGTGTCTGCAATAATACTGGTGTAGGGAGGACAGCTCCTTTTCCTGAGTTGGTTCATGAGAATGGCCTCCTAGAGGAGAAAGCATATCCAAGCATTGGAAGACTGAAACTACATCTTCCTTCTCCCTGCTCAACTGATCAACTAACGGTGAGGGAAGGCATAGGGATACCAAGTTCTGTTGCACTGAGCAGCTGCTTGGTTCTTTCTTTTCCTCAAAATGGGGACTGAAAGTTGCAAGTGAGGGAAGAAAGAAACATTATCCCTTTCCAGATGAAAGCTGAGGTAAGATACCCTCATAACACCCCCTAAAGTTACACCCCACTTCACAGGGTTCACCCCTCAGCAGTCCCAGGCATCAGATGGGAGAAGAAGAAGTCCCTTCTCTCCCAATCATTCTATACTTTGGAACCTCCATAGAAAGAGGAGAGGCACCCTGCTTTGGTCAGGACAAGGGAGAAAGGAAAGACAGAGCCCAGAGACTCCATGATTCACACTGAGGATACTGAAGAGAGTGGCCTAATCACTGGAGTACAGGATATTCTGGGGTGGGGTTCTCATTCTCTCCTCTTGAAGCCATTTCACTCTGTATAAATAAATATTCATTGGCCCAGAAAGAGTGACAGTGACATTATAGCTGAGCAGTTAAGGCACTCTCTTACAAGGGGACAAGAACCAAATTCAAATCCCCCCTCCACATCAAGCAGGTGGGGAGGGGAACTGGACCTGGATCTTGCACATCCTGGTTGAGTGATCTAGGACATGGTTATAAGTTTGGGTTGGGGGCGGGGAGTTGTCTGCCAGTTGTGTGAGTTTAGATGTGCTCAGAGCATATCTAACAGTCTGGGTCCCAAAAGAAAAGATATTAGGGGAATCCCTAGTTTGTTAATCCTACTGGCATTTAGGCATCAGTCATGTGCAGTCAGGACTCAGACAGCTGTGCACATACCCATCTGGACAAATTGAAATGTCTTGGGAACTTTGCTAGCAGAAACTTAGACTCCTGCACGGTTAGGCACCAGCTGATAAGCACTTTTGTAAATGCCAATCACACCTAAATGTTGCACTTAGGTGCTTGGGCTCATTACAAGAGTAAATGGTGAAATGTAGTGACCTATGACATACAGGAGCTCAGACTAGATGCCCCAGTGGTCCCTCCAGCCTTAAACTCAATGAATCTATTAATGCTGAGGTTAATTATTTATTTGCTTCTTCATCACCTTTGATTCCCTTGCCTTTTCATTTAATCCCTTGTTTTTACTTTATACCCCCTTTCAATTTTGCCCTTCCCTTTCCCCTAAGTCATTTGTTTGTTCTGTCTTACTTGATTCCTTTAAAGCATAATAACTTACTGTCTAGAAACCATAGGCTATATCAGGGGTCTCAAACTCAATTGACCACGAGGGCCACCTGAGGATTAGTACATTGGCCCGAGGGCCGCATCATTGACACCACCCCTGCTACCCCTGGCCCTGCCCCCACGCCAACCCTTCCATGAGGCCCCGCCCCTGCCCTGCCTCTTCCCACCCCTTCCCTGCCCCCATTCCAACCCCTTCCCTGAAATTCCCACCCCAACTCCACCCCCTCCCTGCCCTGAGGGGGTGCAGGAGGGGTGTGGGGTGTGGCAGGAGCTCAGGGCAGGGAGTTGAGGTGTGGAGTGCAGGAGGGATGAGGGGTGCGGCAGGGGGCTCAGGGCAGTGGGTTGGGGTGCAGGAGGGGTGTGGGTTGCGGCAGGGGGTTCAGGGCAGGGGGTCGGGTACAGGGTGCATCAGGCAGCTCAGGGAAGGGGGTTGGGGTGCAGGAGGGGTGTGGGGTGCAGCAGGGGGCTCAGGACAGTGGATTGGGGTGCAGGAGGGGTGTGGCAGGGTATCGGGGTGCAGGGTGCGGCATGGGACACAGGGCAGGGGTTTCGACTGCAGGAGGGGTTTGGAGGGTGGTCTATGGCCGGCGTGCACCGGGGGCGGGGCAGGCTCCCTGCCTGCCTGCCTGCCCGCCCTGCCTCCGTGCCGCTCCGGGAAGTGGCTGGAACGTGGGGGAGCAGGGGCACAGGGGTGTGTGTTTTGCTGTTGCTTCAGGCACCACCCCCAGCATCTCCCATTGGCTGAGAACAGGGAACCACGGCCAATGGGAGCTGCTGGGGGTGGTGCCTGAAGCAACAGCAACACACACATCCCTGTGCCCCTCCTCCCCCAGGTTCCAGCCGCTTCCTGGAGCGGCGCAGAGGCAGGGAGTTGCCCTACCCCCGGTGCGCATCGGGCCAGAGCTGCTCTAGATAAACGCTGGAGGATGGCGGGGGGGGGGGGGCACTGGAGGATGGCGGGGGGGCCGTGAGGAGCTCGCGGGCCACAGAAAATAATCTCGCGGGCTGCATGCGGCCCGCAGGCCGCGTGTTTGAGACTCCTGGGCTATATAGTCATTTACTCATCTAGCTACTAGATAGAGTCAGTGCATGTTTGCCAGTGTAGTTGAAGACTAATAGGCAAAGAGTTGCTATCCATGCAGCATGCATTGGTCCTGCAGTATTCCACATACTCATTGAAGAGGGAGGAACATATGAAGCCTACCACTCTTGTGGACCATAGAGTGGTCCAGGAGAGGATTATAATGTATTTTTACCACTCATCACCATTAAAATAAAAGGTGCATTGTTGCCCCTTTTTCCAACAGCAGTGTCCCACTTATGATACCGGTGTTATACATTAATGTTATACATTAACTGAGCAGTAATAAAGGCTCAGGCCCACAAAGGTATTTAAGTGCATAAACCCCAGATTTAAGCTCCGCTATGATCCACAAAACTCCTGCCTAACTCTGTAGGCCCCTAAACTCTCTCAGCACTTAAAGTTTTCAGGGTCAAAGTTTCCAGTTCTAGGCATATGCACTGCTGACTCGCTATAGGTGTCCAGACACCTATATCCCCAGGCAATTCATGAACCAGGGGATCAGGTCCAATTCAAACATCTGGACAGAGGAGGTGCCCACCTTATATAACTCTTGATACACTGGTTAGAGCACTCACCTCAGATTCCCCACCCCCCGCCTGAGGAGGAAAAAGGTGTGGAAGTCCCCTGTTCAAATCCTGTTAGGAAAGTGCACTAAGCATTGGGCTACTGAATATTCTTATGTGGCGCTGTCATAAACAGATAGTTAAGGGTTAATGCCTCTTTTACCTGTAAAGGGTTAAGAAGTTCACCTAGCCTAGCTGACACCTGACCAGAGGAACCAATGGGAGGACAAGATGGTTCAAAGGGAAGGAGGAAAGTTCCCTTTGTCTTTTGAGTTTCACTTTGGACCGGAGTGGGAAAGCTCCAGAATTCAGCCTCTTATTAAGTAGTGAGTATTAGTGAAGGAAATAAATAGGCTTATGTTTATTTCTTTATAACCTATCTTGTGCAATTAGAGAAATAGTCAAATTGGGTTATTTTTTTTTTGTTTTGTGTGTGTGTGTAACTGAGGGTTTGCCCAGGGGAACATCCTCTGTGTTTGGACTCTGTTGTCTGTGAGAGTAGCTGGTATGCTAATCTCTCCCAGAGGGTTTTCTTTTACCTTTCTTTTCTTTAATTAAAAGCCTTTTTCTTAATACCTGATTGATTTTTCCTTGTTTTTAGATCCAAGGGGGTTGGATTTGGATCCATCAGGTGTTGGTGGGAGAAAGGAGGGGGGATGGTTAATTTCTCTTTGTTTTAAGATCCAAGGGGTTTGGTTCTGTATTCACCAGGGAATTGGTGAAGAGTCTCTCAAGGCTACCCAGGGAAGGGAATTAGCACATTGGTAGTGGTGGCAGAGGACCACATCTAAGCTGGTAGTTAAGCTTAGAAGTTTTCATGCAGACCCCCACATCTGTACCCTAAAGTTCAGAGTGGGGAAGGAGCCTTGACAGGCGCAAAAGAAGGGTGCTCCCTCAATCTCTTCTATTGAAACTGTTCCACTGTGTACGTAATCACAGGAATGGGGGACCAGATCCTGAGTCTCCCAGATCAGTTCCCTAACCCCTGGACTATAGAATTATCCTCTCTCCCACTTCCTTTCTTGCAGTGACTAAGGATTTATACACAGTGAAATAACTTCACCAGGAGAGACTGATGAAGCCCCACATCAGGCTATCCCATAGCTCGGCAGTTAGAGCGTGTACCTGACAGGATTTGAATTGAGGTCTCACACCTTCCCCCCCGCCACATCTGAGGGGAAAAGAGAACTGGGGTCTTCCACATCCCAGGTGAGTGCTTTAACTACTGCATTAAAAGCTATAAGATGGGCACCACTATCTGTTTTGGGAGGAGTGAGGCAGGTGCCTCCCTCATTCTCATAAGTAGTGACTTAGGCAGCTAAGCCACCTGGTGCCAGGGGACGGGGTGCCAGCTGTGAATTGCATGCAGAAATAAATGTCTAAGCCTGGGTGTCTAGCCCCATGAAAGGGGAGGAGCTTAGGATATACCCCTCTCATCAGCATCATCCATTGGCTAGCTTAGACAGCTCCCCATCTAGTGTGCTGGCTTTTATGGATCTCATTCTTAGGCAACTCCCTGTCCCCATCCATTCTATAGGGTTCCTTAGCACTTTACTCAGTCTTTTTGGACCACAGAGTTTTTCTAGTCATTTTCTGGGGGCCTACAAGTTACTCCAGAGACAGTGCTGAGCATTGCGACACCTAAGTCCATTTTTGTATTCTGGCCAGAGTTCTAGGGCTTAGAAGTCAGCTTCCTAGTGGAGGAGAATAAAAGTAACAGGAGGTTTAGGCATATTCTCAACCTAACTCAGCATAAGACACAGAGTGTAAATAGCCAAATTGTATCTGACCTGAACCCATGGTATCATTTTTCTCTAACAGTAGAAACTGACCTGCTGAAAAGCCCTGAACTCTACCATTGTTCTACTAAGGAGCTACATTTATTAATACTGCAGAAAGAGGGCTTGAGGCAGTAGGAAAACGTTTGAGAAGATAAGAGAACTTCAGAGATCAGTACAAGCCATTTATTTATTTAGCATTTGCCTATCTGTTGAGCCAAGGAATAGCATTCTTAGTGGCCAAGTGGAGTTCTCGGAGCCCACCGTTGAATTTGGATAGTGGACATTCCTTGACAATGTGTATCATTGTTCTGCACCACACCTGCAGCTTAGTTTGTGTCAAAGACACCAACAGTGCTGCACAGAGGCCTTGCACAGTCTGTAATCAGTTAAAAAGGGACCATTGATGACATAGCAGGTCGAATCCAGGTGGGCGAGCAGTAGTGTCTTCCAACCACAGGGACTCCACTGACATTTAGAACCCATGGGAGGTGCTTAAATATAGTTTGTATCTGTTTCTCTACAAGCCCAATTCTATTGGTTTAGTCTTATGTAGTCTAGCTGGAAGAAGAGTAGATTTCAGGGCAAAAAATTGTCTTTTCATATTTCATATTCAGTGTTGTATACATTTTAATTTGATTCATATGTAAAATCCTATACAAACTGACATCGGAATTTTACTTTCTGAAAATTCAGTCCCTCCCCTTTTTTCAGGTGTAGTTTTCTTTGGTCCAACCTGTAAAGCCAGCTCTACAAAACAAGCAGCATTTGGGGCATAAGCTTTTGTGGAAATTAAGCTCTGAAAAGTAATTTAAGACATCAAAACACTTTAGAAAATCCAATTTAAAAAAGCCAGTAACTGTAAGCACTGTAACAGACAGGCTATAGCCAAACAAGATCAGTCTCTCTTTTCCTTTCCCCCAGGATACTCCAATACAAATCAAAAAGAAAGGACCTAGCCATCAGAAGTCACCACTATAGCTACAGATATCACCAAGCCTGTACATAACAAAAACTATGCCCCATTAGTTTTACTACAGTTTAGTTTGAAACAGTTTTACTACAGTTCTGCTTGAATGTATATTTCAATAGTCACAGCTAAGGAAAAAAACATAACTCATATACTCATGTAGAGTAGCCTAATTTCTCTTCTACTGCAGTTTTGAGTATTTCCTTAAGTAAAAAGTTTTGATGGATATTTATCGAAAACAGCAGGGAACTTAAGTATTAAAGCAGATACAGGAATAAGAGAAATGTGTCATATTTCTGGACTCTACTGGTGTTCTCAATATAGCTCCTCCCCTAGTGCTTGCTACTTGGAGTGGCTTCTCCTCTCTCCTCACACAGTCTGGGTTCTTTCCTATGATTCCTAGTACCTCCATCTAAGATGACTCCTCACGGTGCCCAGGACATAGGGTGTGGGTGTGGGCTGTGAAAGGTAATAAGAAAACATTCTACAAATACATTAGAAACAAGAGGAAGACCAAGGACAGGGTAGGCCCATTACTCAATGGGGTGGCGGGGGGTGGGGGGGAGAACAGTAACAGAAAATGTGGAAATGGCAGAAGTCCTACATGACTTTTTTGTTTCAGTTTTCACCAAAAAGGTTAGTAGCAATTGCCCGTGAAAATGAGGTAGGAGCAAGAGGCTAAAATACAGAAAGAACAAGTTAAAAATTACTTAGACAAGGTAGATGTCTTCAAGTCACCAGGGCTTGATGAAATACATCCTAGAATACTCAAGGAGCTGACTGAAGAGATCTCTGAGACATTAGTGCTTATCTTCGAAAAGTCATGGAAGATGGGAGAGATTTCAAAGGACTGGAAAAGGGCAAATATAGTGTAAATCTATAAAAAGGGGAATAAGGACAACCCAGGGAATTATAGACCAGTCAGTTTAACTTCAGTACCTGGAAAGATAATAGAGAAACCTAGAAAATAACAAGGTGGTAAGTAACAGACAGCATGGATTTGTTAAGAACAAATCATGTCAAACCAACATAATAGCTTTCTTTGACAGATTAACAAGCCTTCTGGATTGAGGGAGAAGCAGTAGATGTGGTAGATCTGGACTTTAGTAAGGCTTTTGATACTGCCTCCTCATAAACGAATTAGGGAAATAGAACCAAGATGGAGCTACTATAAGATGGGTGCATAATTGGTTGGAAAACTGTTCCCAGAGAGTAGTTATCAGTGGTTCACAGTCAAGCTGGAAGGACATATTGAGTGAGGTCCCGCAGGGATCAGTTCTGGGTCCAGTTCCGTTCAATATGTTCATCAGTGATTTAGATAATGGCATAGAGAGTACACTTTTAAAGTTTGTGGATGATACCAAGCTGTGAGTGTTTGCAAATGCTTTGGAAGATAGGATTAAAATTCAAAATGATCTGGACAAACTGGAGAAATGGTCTGAAGGAAATAGGATGAAACTCAATATGGACAAATGCAAAGTACTCCACTTAGGAAGAAACAATCAGTGGCACACATACAATATGGGAAATAACTTCCTTGGAAGAAGTACTGTGGAAAGGGATCTGTGGGATCATAGCGGATCACAAGCTAAAGAGGAGTCACTGTTGCAAAAAAAAGCAAACATCATTCAGGGCTGTACTAGCAGGCGTGTTGTAAGTAAAACACAAGAAGTAATTCTTCCACGCAACTTCACCCTGATTAGGCCTCAACTGGAGTATTGTGTCCAGTTCTGGGCTCCACATTTCAGAAAATATGTGGACAAATTGGAGAAAGTCCAGAGAAGAGCAACACAAATGATTAAAGGTCTAGAAAACATTACCTATGAGGGAAGATTGAAAAAATTGAATGTGTTTAGTCTGGAGAAGAGAAGACTGAAGAGAGTCATGAGAACAGTTTTCAAGTACATAAAAGGCTGTTACAAGCAGGAGGGAGAAAAATTGTTCTTCTTAACCTCTGAGGACAGGACAAGAAGCAATGGGCTTCAATTGCAGCATGGGTGGTTTAGGATGGACTTTAGGAAAAACTTCCTAACTACCAGGGTTGTTAAGCACTGGAATAAATTGCCTAGAGAGGTTGTGGAATCGCCATCTTTGGAGATTTTTAAAACCAGGTTAGACAAACACCTGTCAGGGATGATCTAGATAATCTTAGTTCTGCCAGGAGTGCAGGGGACTGGACTAAATGGCCTCTCGAGCTCCCTTCCTCTCCGATTATTCTATGATTAGCAGTTGATTAATTTAACTAGAGTTGCTGCATCTCCACTGCATTACTAGTTAAAGCATCAGGAGCACTCCAGCTTCAACGCTCACCTCCTGATGACCTAGCTGGTTTGAGTTTACAGCATGACTTCCCTCAAGATAGAGATGTGTGTGGACAGGAATTCCGTTAGATTATATCTCAAGCTAACACTGCAGTGAAGGCAAGCTCTAAAAGAAAATAAACTGTGAAGGTGCATGTTGTTTAAAAAATGCAAGTACACCACTTGTGTAAGGTACCATTCATGAAGTAAGGGTATCACAATCTGGCCTACCAGAATTCTAACAAGATCAGTCAGGACAAAGTGTCAGACATGGGTCAAACCTGAGGCTGGGAGTAACAACGGAGTTCACAGTTAGATTCAAGGCCAGGATCAATACCAAGGGTCAGAATCCAAGTCAGGTGATGAAGTCCAAATCAAGCCAAGGACAACAAAAGAAGCAGAAATGTTCTTGACAACTATAAGCAATCCACACTGCTGCCTGGACACCTCCTGGACTACTCCTTGGATTTATATAGGTTGAGGAGCCATACGTCTTCTGCCTTTCTCACCTCTTCAGGTGGGACTTTCCATGTTCTGTGTCCATAGTGTGTCATGGGCAGGAGAGCACAAACTAGTTACAGCTGCTACTGGGTGGTATCATGGAGAGGCAAGGTGCCTGGCAACTCTGAGGCCTGGGTGCTAGACCCATGGGGCCTTATAGACCTGTAGTCACAAGGATGCCAAATTCTGTTACCTTTATATATGTTGAGTAATACCTAGTCCTAAAGCAGTCTAACAAAAATGAATGGGGCTGTTGGTGTACTATGGTACAGTAGGGGAGGCAGAATTTCACTGAAGGGAATAGTGCCAAATTTCATCCCCACTTCCTTAGAATTGAAATAGATGGGGAAACTTTGGCTGCAGCATCAGTACTATTTATATGAGATGACCCTTAGGGTGAATCTTCACAGCACAGTTTGCTTGAGTTATAACTTGAGTGTTACCCTTAACTCAACTCCTGTCCACACACAAAAATCTGTAGCTCAAGTTAAGTGGTGCTGTAAGATCAAGCTAGTTGGTCCATTGTGGAGCAGAGGATGTTGGGTTGAAACTTGTTAATGCAGTGGGTATTCAACAGCTCAAATTACAATTTCTTGGCAGCTAATCCAATTTCTCTGCTAATCCAGTCACTCAGGGCTGTAATCAAATCATTTTGTATAACTCCAGTTTTGTTTTGAAATGTGATTGCCCTCACTCCGATCAGGCTGGATTGAGCACTGTAATTTGAGTCTACTAATTTGAGCTAACTGTTGCAGCCAATGAAGACAAACCCTAAATCTTTCTCATTGCACAGTCACAGTAGGTTGTTAGAAATCTAACCAAAAGCCAGATTAGTAAATCACTGTAACCTCCTGCTGACAACACCCACTGATGCATTGATCAACAGACAATCTTTCCAGAGATCAGCTGGGTTCATCAATGATTTGCAACAAATTAAACGAGATTGCAGGAGATCAGCCCCACAGTGTGGGCAAAAGACCAAGGTAACTTGAAATAAAACTGGTTCCAAATGGCCTACGGCTGGTTTATAAACTGGCTTTGTCAGAGCAGCTTTGGGTGCCTGGAGCTTGTCTACTGTCTGTCCCTAATCAGTTTTAAAATAAATTAGAATTTTGCAGGTGCTTTCTCCTAGGATGACCAAGGTTTATGTTTTTAAGTAAGGATTATGAGAAAAGGAATAGCTATTGGAGAAACTGTCTTTGTCAGTGGTAAGTTTATGGAGTCCAGAAGAAAGGAAAAGTTCTTGAGTCAGCTACTCAAAAAAGCATGAATTTGCTGGCCTTCACTTGAATTTAATGGGAGCTTTGCCTGAATAATGATTACAGCTGGAATTTCTGATATCATTCCTTCTCACTTTAATATTCCCCATCACCTTCCTGTTTTCTGTGGATGACCTGTGTGGAGAGTATTTTATGCTCTCTCCGGTGGCTTTGCTGAGTTCTGCTGAGAAAACATTTGGTCTAACTCCTGGCATTCATTTTTGGACAATTACTTGGCATCCAGGTCACACTTCGGAGGCCTAACTTTTCTGACTAGGAGTCAAATGACTAAAAGGTCAAACTGCAGGTGCTGCACATGATAACAACAGGCCCACTGTCAGTCTAATGACACTAAATGCCAAAACATCCCAAAATCTGAATTACAAACTTAAGGCCAAATCCTGCTCTGCTAAATCCAGAAAAACTTTGTAGAAAACATAGGAGTTACACTAATGTAATTGCAGAGTAACTGTGAGAACAGAATTTAGTTCTGAGGGGATCTCCAAAGTGAACAGAATAAGCTGTGTGAAAATATTTGCATATTACAAATCTATTGGCTGGCAAGTTGTAGGATACTGACCCCACCCCACCCTGATTTCATAATAATGAAAATAAATGCATTTGAAGTTTCTCACATTTTCAGTCTAGGCAACAAAACAGTCTGTCCCAAAGATAATGTTTCCCACTTGGCCAGAATGAAACTTGTGCATAATAGTGCAGGGGAGGAGTCAAAGGTCAAATCTGTGGTCCAGTATTGCCAGCCCCAAATGTTCAAAAATCATGAGTCAGGCTCACAAAAAATCATGCGATTGGCTTTAAAATCGTGAGATTATATAAAAAAATAATAGATTGGTGTTCTTTTTATTTTCTTTTAGCTTTTTGAACTTTTAGGTTGCATGGGGGTCACATTTTGAAACTTTCTCCACAGCCATAAGGGCTAGAATCTTCCTTTTTCTTTAAGAATGAAGGCTGAAATGGTCACATATTCGCTTGACTCCTGGAGCTGGGGCTTTAAGGAAAACAATAATTATCATGAGACTCATGATAAAATAATGAGAGCAGGCAACCCTGGTGGTCCTAAAATACTTCTGTGATCTTGGCAAGTCACTTAACTCTTCTGTGCTTTATCTTTTCTCTTTGGTAGAATGGGGGAGAGAATCACCTTTCTCAAGGGTTTTGAGATCTTCAAATGAAAAATACAAAATATTCTCAGGTCAACAGTCTAGCATACTCAGTGCGCTGTATATAAAATGGAGATTTCATATTATGAATTATGATTATTTTTATTCATAGCTATTTACCAGCTCTAACAGCCTTTCAAAAAGTAAGTTGTTTATTTTTATGTCACAAGCTGTACATTAACTTATTTAATCAGAAAACATTGCTACATTATGAATAACTTACTACAAATAAATGGATTTTTCGTTTACAGTTTAGAACTTTATTTTGCTCCACTAGAACTTTGAGAAGTTTTTGTTTGTTTGTTTTTAAGATTATGTTTGTCAAGGATATTGGGCTGCCTGTAATACTTTATGTTCCATCTATTTGTGTGATTGTTGCTGTGTTGTTTACTATGAGTGTACAAAGGGTTAATTCAAGAAGGGGTTAGCTGCATGTAGTTACTCAGCAGGAAGGTAGACAGTAAGCTGATAACAGCTGCTCCAACACCTAAACAATGCTGGAGCCATTTGCTGTGATGGGATGGCTAGACCCCCCTATTAGGCTTGTTAAGCAGGTTTCTCCAGAAATGACTAAGCCCCCCTCCCCAGCTGTTGGGAGGTCAAAGTCTTAGAAGGATTTAAAGAGACAGACAATCTCTCAGGCTAATTAGATAGTTAAAGGGAATAATGGGGCAGAGAGAGCTAGGGAGCAGTCTGACCATCAGACTGCAGAGGCTGGAGTGTCTGGGATAAAATAGGCCTACCTAGGACTACAGGTGGGTTGCCGCATCTTTCCCCACCCCCACCCATGTGAACTCTTCTCCCCCATCCCCTGGGTGTTACAGCTGGATGCTCAGTTGAAAGATTTCATCTCTAGAAAAAAAGAAGTTCATCCCAATGGGCCACTGGAGAGGACTTTTGGATGAAAGTATGCACATGCGATTCCTCCAGAGCGTCCAATCAGAGGGAGGAGAAGAAGACCTGCCTAGCTCTACAGGGAAGCCAGGAGGTATGCCCCCAAACTTTGCATACCCCCATACCTTCTTCTTGAAGGACATTTGCCTTTGGACTGGCTCCAGTCTCCCCTTTCCCAGATCCCTGGTGCTGCATCTTCTGGATCTCCTCCTCTCTCACACACACACACACACACACACACACACACAGCTGTTCAGCCATAGCTGACCCCAGGACGACTGGTGAAGTCTATTCTGCAGAGCTAAGCTTGAGGGCATATCACCTTTTCTAGGTAAGATCCAGAGGGATGGAGGGAAGAGAATTT